AGCCAGAGCTCGCGGAGCTCCCGCGGCTCCATGAGCGCCTACCCCGAGCTGCAGCTGCCCTCGCCCCGCTCCTCCCTGCTGGGGCCCGGCCTACAGGAGGACGGCGCCGTGCCCGAGCTGGGGGACGTCTACCACAAGATCTATGCCCAGTCCCCGCCGCGGCACGACCAGCAGCACCCGGCCGCCCCCGAGGCGGCGCCCCCCTACGCCTACAGCCCGACCAAAGGCTCCGCTTCGGCTCCCAAATTCAAGCTCCCCTACCAGGTGACGCCGTGCCGGGAGAGCGGCCCCAGCCAGGCGGAGAGGCGGCTGGAGGCCCTGACGCTGGAGCTGGAGAAGGAGCTGGAGATGCACATGAAGAAGGAGTACTTCGGTGAGTGGGCTGCTGGAGGGGGCGAGCGGCTGGGGGGCGGCGGTGTGCGGGGCCTGCCCGGACCCGGGGGGTTTGGCTGCGGAGAAGGCGAGAGTGTGATGCCCGGGGCTGCGCTGGACAAGGTACCTGCTCAAGTCCCGTAGCGCCACAAAGGCGGTTCGTTTAACTGGTGTCAGAAGCGCTTGCACCATAGCTCGTTCCTGGTGCTTGATCTCTCTGCCGTCTATTCCGTACGCCGTTTACCGGGGTGCGTGGTGCTTCCCCTTCCGCGTGCGGATGGGAGACTTGGCTGAGGTGTTAGAGAAGCTGTTCGTGCTGTTGGGGCTCCCGGTGACCCTCTTCACCGATAACCTCCAGCATCCCTGAGGCTGTGGCGTTTGTGGTCATGCTCTCAGGCCGTCTGTGATAACTTCTGTAGATGATAAGTGTGGCTGGTGAAGCAATTTTTAGTGCCTCCTTCAATAAAATCTTTGTGCTAGATCAGAGTGCCTGTGGGAGCCCCAGCATTGTTTCTGCCCCGCGAGGCCTTGCAGGGTCTGCTCAGCACGCAAGGCTGGCAGGGGTCGGTGTCATGCCTGGGACAGGAGGGCAGTTTGGGGGAGAGGAGAGCCCTCTGTCCCTGCTGAGGCTAAATCAGCCTGTTGGCCGTCTCCTGAATTTCTGTTGAGGCTTTATAGAACAAAAGTAACTTCTCAAAATGAGTGAACACATTTTGTAGTCACACAAGTTAGGATTAAGCTCCCCTGTCTTTCTTACTTTATACTGGGTGGAAAAGGCCAAAATGCCTTTGAAAGATGATCCTGGAGCGTGTAAATGCTGCCGTGTTTGTCCTGCACTGGGGACTGTGGATGAGCCTGGCAGCCCTCAGGAGCAGTTTGTTCCCTGCTGGAACGAGGAGTGAGGGCTCTCGCATAGGAGCTCCCGGCAGCGGAGAGAGAGAAAGGGGCCTCAGAAGATGCAGGGTTGTGGATGAGCCAGCCCTCATCTGCGGCCTTTGAGGGGACGGTTATCTCTGCCCCTTCGTGTGCTGCCTGGGCGCAGGGTGGAGGCTCCCTGGTGGTGTGTGATTTCTAACAGACATGAGCATTGCTGAGGATGGAGATATGCATTACCTTGGTTGCTGATTTAAACACGAGGATTCAGACTGCTTTTGGCACAGCATTAGTGTTCTCTGCATGGAAAGGAGGAGTTGTAGGGCTCCTTGCAAGCGTCTGCAAGATGCTTGTAGTGAGACAGATCTGTGCTGATCAGCAGAGGTAGCTGAGCGAGCAGTACCCTCTCCTACAAGGAAAACTTTTCTGTGCGCTGCAGTGGCATAGTTTCTACAAGCTCTTGTGCCCAGACAGAGGAAGCTGAATGCAGTGCTTACTGCCTCTCTCCATCCCATCTGGGGCTGATAAGAAAGCTGATGGTCCCCCACCGCATCCTTTGTGGGGCCTGGCACCTGGTGCGGTACTCCTCACCAGCTGAGCTACTCCAGCTGAGGACAATAATGGTTCACTTCTGAGTAGCTGCAGAAGCTGAGTGGGAGGGCTTGTTAACACACTAGCTGCAATAAACGTTGCCTTCAAAATTTCTGTGGTATACAGTGAGAGATTGAGAAATAAAGATGCATTCAGAGTAAGAAACAAGTTACAGCTGTCCTGAGCCTCTGAGAGGTGTTTGCAGTGGCCAGGGAAGCTGGGTGTGCAATCAGGGACTCCAGGAGCAGCCCTGGGGAATCTGTTGTGAGTGAGTTTTTCTTATTTATAAGAATTTGCCTGTTGCAAGTGTCACTACTTGCAGGTATATTCTGTAGCAACGTGTTGCAGCATGCCCTATACCTCAGCAGATGCATCCTATGTAGGATCAGCAGTAAGCTTGTGCCTTTATGCCTAGAGTGTACGTACCGGCTGCTCTGTAGGTATTTGTTGTAGCAGCACAAAGCACTGCTGTGACTTGCGCCCTGGAAGCAGATGAAACCCAGAAAACTGGGGTGCTTTAAAAGAGAAAGTTGATTTCTGTGGGTTGTTGAGGTTTTGATAAATCCTTGTGGGCTTGATCCCGCATTTCTGGTTCACATCACCCATGGAGGGCGAACGCTGAGCTTCAGCTGAGCAAGCGCATGAGCGGTTGGCAGGGACGATCACAGGCTGATGGGTCAGAGACAAGGAGGGCAAGAACAGGGTGGGGAGGAGTCTGCTATTTAGTTTGACTTACCTGAGAGGGTCTTAAACAAGGTTGATAAAGGGAAGCAAGGAGAAATGCATTGATTTGGGTAGCAGCTTGCACGTACCACAGCTGAAGTCTTTGCTTACGCATTCGCTCCCTTAGCGCTGGTGTCTGGCATACTCCGAAGGCAGTCGTGGAGTGCTCTGTGATGCCCATGGAGAACAGAAGTGTTGAGCCAGTAGCCTAACAAGGTAGAGGCAATGGAGGAGATGGTTTAGTGCTCCTTGATTAGATGAACTCAATTGTCTGGTGTGTCAATGCTTATATGAGGACACTGGTAATTTTACTGTGTTCTGGCCCCCCCGCCCCCCAAGAAGAAAAATTTGAAAAATTGAGCAGTGTGTTATTTTGAAACTGAGGTCAAGCAACTAACCGGTCCTATTTGGAGGAGCAACAACTCTACCCTGCCTTCATTCTGTTTGTGGGTCAGTTTGTCTGAGTGTTCCCCTAACCACGCTTGTGCTGGCAGTCCCTGGCTGTTCTCCCACACCACGCTGCTCCACTTCAGGAGGAACCTGTAGTCTGGGGCAGACACATACATGATGGAGGACATGTGCAGGGTCTGAGCATCTGGAAGGTGCCGAGGGGGCCAAGCAGCATGCAGCCCGGCGGGTCTAGGGGACTGACAGCTGTCTCTGCCCGTTCTGGTGTGAATGGCTTTGAGCAGCGCTGTGCTGGGAGCTTGGCTTTCCTGCCTCACCTTCTCCATCCTCCCCGTTCTTCTGGCAGGCTTCAGTGCATCTGTAGAGAGCTTGAAAACGCCCTTCCGCAGTTGGTTTAATCCGACTGAAGATGACAGTGCCGCAAAAGGAGTGCTCTGCATCTGCCCTACCCCCTGTTGCACAGCTGAGAGGTAGCACCCTGCCACTTCCAAGTGCTCCCACCAGCATGTTGCAGCCACATGCACTCACTGCTCTTGGAGAAAATGAAGCCTGCAGAGAAGGAAGGGGAGAGGGAGGGTTGTTTTGGGCTGGATTGGTGAGCTGCTCCAGTTTATCCCTGTTGATGAGGTGGCTGGAGCTGACGCAAGGGAGAGGGTGCAGACAGAGGGCTATGGGAGGCTGAGACCGTTCTGTTGGCAGCAGCCTGCGGTTGGATTGGGTAAAGCTGTGAGACTTCATTCCCTTGTAGCTGCTTCCTATGCAGCCCCTGCCCAAGCTGCTTCATCCGCAACCCTCTGAGATCCCCTGTCTGTCCCTTGTCAAGGTACCAGCAGTTCAGTAAATGTGCTCGGTTTAGTGGCAGATGCTGAGAAAAGAGGTAATAAAAAAGTGCTTTCACTCACTTTCATAACTGTTCTCAGCTGAGCATTTGTATGTGATGAGGTGAATTGTCAAAGTTGTGTTTCAAGGATGTTTTAAATTGAATGTGCATCCTGAGGTGTCAACAAGACATTTGTGGGTGTTGGAAAGTTATTGTCTCAGGCGCTGGCTTAAGTTCTATTTACTTTGCAGCATTCTTCAGTCTGATGTCTAGGTGTTGAAAAAGACAGTTTAAGGCAAAAACTGGATTCTGGCATGCTCATCCAAGTCAAAGCAGTCCTTGTGGGACTGACTGTAAACCTACGGCGTGCCATCTACCGGGCAGGGAAATGTCATCGTGTTGAACAGTCATGCTGATTTGGCGGCTGTTTTTGAACAAGATCTCTCTTTATGTCCTGTAGCTCTGCTGGTGTGCTGTCAGAAATGGAAGGAGACTCGATGGAGGGGTGCAGGCAGCAATCTTGTGCTCCCAGCAGCCCCTTCTGTGCTATAGCCATCACCCAACAAGGGCTGTCTGCTCATCTTGGTCAGGGTGGTGGGATCCAGTGCAAGAAGTGACTTAATTACCTCACCGTCTTGAACTAAAGAGGAGATGGAAAAGGCACCATGAGACTAGGGAGGCGGAGGGAGTGCAGATTGTTTCCTGCCTGTGCAAAGTCTAGAGAGAGACAAACAAGTTTGCAATCTTGCTGGCATCCTGCGACACCACTGTGCAATGCCCTTTGTGAAGGTGCTTTTCCCCATCTCTGTACGCCAAGTGTCTTCCCTGCCCCTTGCTGCCACCTCACCCCCGTATCTCTCATGTCTGATATGCAGAATACAGCAAGTCCATCTCGCATGCGGTACTCCTCAGTGAGAAACAAGCAGTCCTGTCACAGAGAGCTGTCCCCTTTCTTGGCTTCCACGGGCACCCTTGACCCTTCTCCGCACTGAGGGAAGCGGCCCCTTTCTCAGTACCCTGTAGGAGGTTTACCAAGCGAAGCAGGGGTTGGTTGATGTCTCGGAATGAGACAAAGTCTGGATTCTGTTACTACCTGCAGCCATCTGTCTAGTAAAAGCCTGTTCTTACACTAGCAAGTAGGCTTGACATTTGAGAGTTCCTGGATCTTTCCAGAAAGCCACCCAGTAGTACCAGCACATGTTTTTTGCAGCACCACCAAGAAATGCTGCTGATAGCATCCTGTTGAAAAGCCTTTGGCCTGGTAGGTAGGTGAAGGGAAGAAATAGATCCCTAGACCCACCTGGGCCCTTTCTGCACTTTGTGTACGTACTCATCCATGCAAATCTGTTTCTTTGCTTTGAGAAGTCCTGCTGGTGTTGCAGGATTGGCTTTTGGGCCCTACAGTGTGCTTGTGAGTTCAGAGTTGTATGTTCATGTTTCTTTTGTGTGTGCAGGTTGATGTGACAGAAGGGTGTATGTACAAGTGAGATCAAAATTAAGACAGGTAACAGTGCTAAGTCCCTAGAAGCTGCATTGCTTAAAGATGAAATTTGAAAATGAAATGAAATTGAAGTGAGCTTGCAGTT